GAGAGAGAGAGAGAGAGAGAGAGAGAGAGAGAGAGAGAGAGCTCATGCGTTGTGACAGAGCTATTTTCTCGGTTTGGTTTATTATCTGAAATGTTCAATGTGCTGACTGCTAAAAACCGACCGCAATAATCTTGCAATAATTTTAAGATACTCATTTCCTCGTGCACATTCTTCATTAACAAAAGGTGCCAATTTGATCAACTTCCTGTGCACTTACCAACCTCCTGGTGTTAAACCTGATTCATTTTATAACCTTAGTGGAATCGAAAGTTAATTCCAACGGCAGTTACTAGCTCTGAAAACCTTTCCTCGCTGTAAATGGAAAAGGAGCTACAGCTTAATGTGAGTGATCTGTTTTTTTTTATTATCAAGCCAAGCTTATGGCTGAGGAAATTTCGTGAGAGGAACGAGCCGGATGTCCGGTCGTTTTCGGCCCAGTTTAACTCTAGGGCTGCACTTTTTACTGGTCAAGTTGAACAGGAAGGAAATAGGGAGGAATATTTCAAATTGGCTCTGCCCAAGCGGAAAATAAATTGTGCCTTAATAAAAGTTGCTGCAAGATACACTCTTTTCTTAAAGTGCATCTAAATACTGCATATTTTAATTGACACCACACCACTTATGCTTTGAAAAGTTGGACAAATGTTTGTTACTTTACTTTTACTTTCACCTTTTCATCTTCTGTTGCTGTTAAGCGTTGAAGGGAGATACTGTTTTTCAATCTAGGCCAACTCTGCAATTCTTTCAATTAGCCTAGGATTTATAGTCCCAGGCGCCATGGACTCTCTCAACTCGTATTTTGCATGGCATACCTATTCCTTTATAGCATGAGTACGTGGTGTTATATAGGCTCTCGAGACTACCTGGCTAGGTGACATTCGTAACAGGTGGCCAAATCATTGCATTCTTTGTTTTATATGAAATGCAGACAGGATCTCCGTGCTAACAATTACTCTTACATTTTCATTTCTCTGTCTGTCTCTTGTTATCATATTTTTCAGGGTTTTGGGAGACATTTCATCTTGCTTGCAGTGATTTTTTTTTCATGGGTTTTACTTAATGTCTAGGTCTGGCCCTGATACCATAATGTTGGTATAAACATTGAAGTGATATACTGTCTCTTTGTGTCCTTGGAGATGTTTGGATGAGATAGATGATGTGCAAGCTCACATGTTATGCTGTTGGCTTTTTGAGTTCGTATTTCTATTTCTCTATCTGTGGATTCGTTTCTTGAATGCTGTCAAGATATTTGTTTGTTTTTTATATGATTTAAGCTAACTTTCGGAACCTCTGTTATCAAAGATTTGTTAAATAATCAAGAAAAAACCCACACCCAAAACAACTCACCTTGAATTTGGTTTCACGTATATGCAATATAAACGGACTTACACTGTCTGGGCAGGCTAACTAAGCTCATTATCTCCTGGAGGTTACCTGGTTCGTGTTCAATCCGTAGTTCAACTCGACCTTTTACGGGAATGAGAAATGGAAGCAAAAAACAAACTTCAAATATGGCGGCCCCCATCGTATGGAAGTCTCTGGAGCCTTGTCGCTGTCTGCCTGCCCGACCGTTTAATCCAAGGGAAGGAGGGGAGGTAATCACGCGACAGACAGTTTTCCAGACGACCAGATCCGAAGTTGGGGCTTGGAGTAAATCAAGGGAGAAAATCCAAAGGTTGACGATGAAATTTGTTTTGCTACTATATACAATAATCTCCTCAAAGGGTGTGATTAACAATCTTATGACCAAAAACATCGAAAGGGCTGGCCTTTCTCACATCATGTTTTCATGTAAAATAATGTTTTAAAGCATTGTCGTCTCAAAGTTAGCTTTTGATCGTATAAGAAACCATTGTTTTTTTACCGTATATATTTTACAGATAAGGGTGAAAAAAGGGAGGTGGGGCATCATGGGGCGCAGAGGGTGGCGGTGTCACGTTTATCTTCATAGGTTTGGGATAAAGCTTTAGGTTCTTAGCATTTTACCATGGTATCTTGACTCCATTTTGATTGTCAGGTTAGCGTCATGCAAAATCTTTGAACCTTGCGTATCATGACTATAACATTCCCCACTTTTAATGAATTTTTGCTTTCGTGATGAGACGAATTTTTTTCACATAGTTCTGATAATATTTAAAGAATGTTATAACTGTTGAAAAGGGCTAAAACGAGCTTTTGTAAGACTATGAAATATAACGTTTTAACAAAAATATTATATGAATTACACTTTTAAAAGTGTTTATTTTAAATTTCTGTTTCATAGAAGTCTACCATCTGAATTAAAAAAACTTTTTAAGTTTTGGATTCTCTTATTCCAGAGGGATTTTAAATGTCTTCTTTCTTGTGCCAAGGTGAAACTAGACAAAATTACTGTTTAAGTTTTTGAGAATATAGGCAGCAAAGCTATTTGTGCGGACATTCAGCCCATAAAACAGTTTTAACTCAAATCTTTTGTAATTCTTTAGAAATAAATCGTTCTTGTAAATGAAACAATATCAGCTCATTCGGTTGTATATCATTTTGAAATGAAGGACGCAGGCTTTTCAGAATATTCCTAGTTTATTTTCCATGATATTGCTCCGTGAGAAAAAAACCCAGCGCTGAATCAAAGCAAACACGTATACTATAAAGCACAATCTGAAGACCTTTATCATAAATATAATAGAGACCTGTAACTATTATGTTGTGTAATATAATTTGAAATGTTACGGGCTTGATTTCATCGTCCACTTTTGATCTATTGCACATTTTCTAAGATTTTACCTTTCCGTGTCTTCCAATGAATTAAAGATTCTGCGCCTTTCAGCTCTGCATGGAAACAAATACAGTTCTTTACAAAGCGATACATGTTGCTTTTAAGGCTGTATACTGGCAGAAGTCAGAATAGATCTTTCATAAATTGTTTTTTTTAAACACCCTTCCTTTGTCCATTGTATGCCTGCCCTTCCATCAGCAGTGAATGTTATGGTAATCTTTCTCTGTATTTTTCTCTTCCAACCCCTTTCTTTCTCTCGCTCCCTCCCTATCTCCTGATTCCCCTGCCCCCCCCCCCCTCTCTCTCTCTCTCTCTCTCTCTCTCTCTCTCTTTCTCTCTCTCTCTCTCTCTCTCTCTCTCTCTCTCTCTCTCTCTTTTCGTTGTCTATTTTCTTGCTCTGTCTATACCGCCCCCTTCCAGTTCTCATACACTGAGAATGGGGTTTAGACAAAACTTTATCATAACAAAAAAAATGTTTCTTCGGGAGGGGGTCAGAGTAGGCATAGGAGGTGGAGGCTGATAAGAAAATCTGTAGTTAGTTTTATGTTAAAAAAGCTAAAATCGATAAAATTTTAGACATACAAACTTACTATTATACTAGTCGGTATTTCTTAAGGAAAACACATATATTACATAATACTTCTATTACTGGAACCGAAGAGGAACAAACAGCTTTGGCAAGTTAATATTTAAATTGAATGAAAAACCTATAAACATTTTACTGTGCATCATCTCAACGCCATTTTTTCTTTCGTAAACAAATGCGCAGGTTTCCATTGTGATAACTGACCGTTTGCAGTCTCCAAAGGCCATAAGAATGCGGTCGTCAAACGGGAGATGCATTTACCTATGTTTAACCTTATCACTACTGAAAACCTTTTTGCTTGAGTTTCCGAAAAGATTTTGTGATTCATGAAGTGTTCTATCCTAACAATGAAACCCAAAGAGAGAGGTGCATAGTATAAAAGTGCAGGGAGAACAAGGAGTGACATTTGTCGATGTGTGTGTGTGTGTGTGTGTGTGTGTGTGTGTGTGTGTGTGTGTGTGTGTGTGTGTGTGTGTGTGTGTGTGTGTGTGTGTGTGTGTGTATGTATGCGTATGAATATATATATATGTGTGTGTGTGTGCGTGTGTGTGCATGTGTGTGCATGTGTGTGTGTGTGCATATGTGAGTGTATATTCTGATCTCTGAGAGGGGCGTGGTTAGGGGAGGGGATTTCTTGAATCCGAACTCTGAGACTGTCCGATGCCATTTTGGGAGAGTAGAGCCTTCAAGGAAATGCTTGAATCCGAACTCTGAGACTGTCCGATGCCATTTTGGGCGAGTAGAGCCTTCAAGGAAATGAGCGACTCTTTGCGTCCGGCTTTGGACAGATTTGGAGAGGTCCTTGAGAGAACAAGGCTCGTTTTTCTTTTGCGCGGAGGAGAAAGTACAATCAAGAGAGACAGAGTAGTGAGGATACAAACAGGTTCAGGGAAATGACGATTATGGAAAAAGAAGCAAGTATGAGGAAAAAAACAGGGGTGGGGGGGGGGGGGGGGGGGTGATTATATGCCTGTAAATTACATGTCACTCAAAATGTCCATTTGGTAATAACTGCCATATTACTTCTTATGGAATGTAATGTTATGCTATTCTTATTACAAATGGCTACACCGGCGTCTGCGGTGTTGCAATATGCTTCTTAGATATCACATGCAGAAGACCCGAGTTTGATTCCACGTTTGGGGTGCATTTTTAACCAGCACCTCTGTTTTTTCTGCTATGACGCTGTTTCCATCTCAGTCCTGGTTGGCCCTGGTAGACAGGGTCAAAGCCTCCCTCTTAAATGATCTAAACTGTGTCGAGGGAAGCGTAAAACATTTTTGTTTAAATAAAAACACCTTCTCACAAGGGAATAAAAAAACCCGGCTTCACTACCCATGGCAAATGGGTTGTGGCGCACGTGTGCGTGTGTGTGTATGTGTGTGTGTGTGTGTGTGTGTGTGTGTGTATGTGTGTGTGTGTGTGTGTGTGTATGTGTGTGTGTGTGTGTGTGTGTGTATGTGTGTGTTTGTGCTTAAGATATAACGAGAAAGACACACACACACAACACACACACAAATGCACACACATACTCAGAGAGAAAGAGAGGGAATGAGAGAGAGAGAGAGAGAGAGAGAGAGAGAGAGAAAGAGAGAGAGAGAGAGGGAGAGAGAGAGAGAGAGAGAGAGAGAGAGAGAGAGACATACAGACAGACAGACAGACAGAAAGAGATCAGGAAGAACGAGAGAGAGAGCAAGATAGATCGATAGAAAGATAGATCGATAGATCGATAAATAGATAGATAGGTAGATAGATAGATAGGAGTAGTAAAGATACCCGCTTTGACTTCCTGAAAGTGAAATTGGTGCCACATCTTACACACACCAACCATCCTAGAGCCAATCTGCTAACCCGTGCACATTGAATGAAGCAATATAAATACAATGAATAAAAAAAGAGGGCTCTACAGCATAGATGCAAAATTTTTCTCTGCCTTTTTCTCTTGTTTTATTTTGTTTGTTTGCTTTTTAGCAAAAACTACAACACTAAGTGACCCGCCTTCGAAATAGATTATATTATTCATTGCAAAATAATACTCTTCTTTTTATAAGCCTAGAGGACCTTGCCCTCCCTTCGCGGCTGATAACTACAGCTCCCACTTCCGGTTTTATTGTATACCGGTCATTTACATGTCTGATGTTTGTTCCATTTACGGATATATCTCATGATTCAGAGAGAGGGTTTTATTTTCTTTTTCTTGTTATTCATCCCGTACTTTACGCTTTTATTTTGTTAACCTTGCGCCCCCGTCCCGATAATTGCGATTTCATTATACCTTATGTCAGTTAATGTTGTCATAAAAACCTTAACAGGGATGTCATCTTCTTTCTGCAGTTTATGTGATGCTGGGTGACCCCTACGAGTTCGTGGGTCTAATGGACCATCTCCAGATAGTGGGGCTGCTGGACACTGGTGACTACTTCGTGGTGGGAGTGACCAGAGATACGTATGAGCTAGAACAGCCGCAGGAGTTCCTGCAAGGTAATACGTCTCCAGTTAGTTTCGTGAAACATTCCACATACAATATTTAAGATCGTATTGAAAAGGTTTCCATGAGGTGTTTCTTCAGCTCTGAACAGTTCCCAATGACTTCTAGTTCTGAGCTGAAATATACTTTATACCCTCATTGACACGATTTATATCATAAATGGGAGGCGATCAGTTTTTAAAACACAAACCAGGGCTAACCGTATCTTATAAAGGATATTTCTAGTTTAAAAAAAGAGATACTAGGTAAATCTTCCTAGCAAGGGTATACCAAACTCACAATCTTTTCGAACACACGAAACAAAGTGTGCAACACAAATTTTTTCCTTGCAAACGCTACAATATGTACGAGCTACTTTCTTTCATGGGCTGGGCTACACATATTGTACATTAGCAGAATAACTTAATTGCACTGCAGTTCACACACACACACACACACACACACACACACACACACACACACACACACACACACACACACACACACACACACACACACACACACACACACACACATACACTCACACTCACTCATATTATATAAAAAAAACAACGTATTCATCACTCCACCAGCGATATATATATATATATATATATATATATATATATATATATATATATATATATATATATATTACACACACATACACACACACCTACAGATCTATCTATATATATATATATGTATGTATAATAATATAATATTGTGGCAGAAAGATCAATTCATTGAGGAAGTTACTGTGAAACTCCGCAGAGTAACAAAACCGTTATTTTTTGCAAGTCAAAAAGACTTCAAGCTGAGCTTTTTTGTTGAAGAGCACTAACACTCATACAAACGTCGAGGATTTGTGAAAGAGGAGGGAACTGCTGAACATATATTATCCGCCAAACCTTCGCCCAGGGCAACAGTGGAGAGTCATTTGATGGGAAATTTCATATGGGCCGTCCAGGTTGTTGACAGGAGCTGTGTGTCGTTTTTTCCCGGCCCGTCAGGCCAAACGTCTGAGATCGATGTAGTGTGGTTTATGAGAGAGATTCTGTTGTAATGAGAATTTATCCCACTTTGTTTCGCCGGAATCTTGTTGTGCTCCAGTTTTGGCCTTTCCTGTTATAATATATCTTTAAAGACATTGAGGCAGTGTATTTATATATAATGACAGATTTTTAAATAAATCAATAATGCCTCCAAATTGTTTTTAAAAAATGATGCTGCAACATGTTTAATGTTTTCTATCATAATACTTACAAAGAGAACCCAAGCGACAAAAACAACAACCAAAAAAGTTTTGATGTCAGATTTGAGCATGCACTGGAATGTAAAATATAAGTGAAATCTTGAGTGATCAGTGAACTCGGTTTGTGTGGGCTAAGATAAGTGCACCTCTGGCTCCTCCATGATGGGGTGGGAGGTGGGGGCGAAAGGCTTATTTGTGCTTGGTTTATTTAGGGACTTTTATGCCTTTCCACAACGTCTTACGGCATAATATAAACAATGATGAAATAAGGTTTCAGCCAAAATCATATTGAAACTGTTGTCGATGGGTGGTGACGTTACATAGGAAATGAACAATGCTTTGCTCTTTGGAGTGTCGAGTGTTAACATTTTTAATTCTCAGAGAAGAATGCTACGTAGCGTCTTGATGTTTGCGAGCTAGTGGCCAACAGCGTTTCCTCAAAACTTTCCTCCACGTTGACATATTAGAAAGATACATTCTTACTTCCATACTTAGTTTAAGCGTATGGCTAGAAACTAGACGGTTCTAACGAACAATGAATTTGCATTCATCATTTTTCTCGTACTTTTGTTCCTAACCATTTTCCCTGGGGTGCCGATCCGTCTACCTATGCTTAGGACGGGCAAAATAGATCAGCCAGAACTCCAATTATTTCGGTATAAATGTAACTCTAGTAGGGAGTCAAAAAAGTGTAATTACGCATGGAGTATACAAGTACAACATTAAAGTGTTCACCAAAAACGTCCGTCTTTTTTAAACAGGCAATGTACGAGGAAGGTAATACAAATTCAGCCTGGGCCCTCATACTCAACCAAGGGCGTCCCAACACAATCATCAGTAGTATAAGCACGGTCAATAAAATTCTAATTATTTAACTACCGTTATCCAACGCTCACATAGTACACTAAATTATAATGTATTCATCTATTGTTGTTATTGCAGATTTAGCCTCTTAACACTCAAGAATATCCTGAAAAGAGGAGGCTACACATTGTGTTGTTATGTTTTTAAAGCGAAGTAAACAACATAAAAATGGGAGTGCAATACTTACATTAAAACGAAATAAACAAAAGAACAATAAACTGCAGAACAATTTGTAGCATTAGTAAATGAATACAGAACCATAGTCTGTTAAAGCACAAAATGTTTTAATGATCAGAGTTGATGCATTCTAAAAGCAACTCAAGGTGGACAGGTTGCGGACTCTAATCCAAGATGCCGTAAAATACCCTTGGGAATTCCAACCCGCTCTCAAGCTGCAGCCAATCGAACGGACTGTTTGAATTTCTCAATCTCGTCACGTTTAGGAGCATTGACGAAAGAGTTCCCACTCAGGCGGCTTCAACTGGGGCACAGTCCGTTTTGTACTGTCTGCAAAGTTCGCTGTGTGTAATGGCATTAACCTAAAATGGGGGAAATTCGATTACGATGTTTTGTGTAAAGGGTTAAGAGATTTTTAAAAAGGAAAATTGAGCACGGAGACAATGTGCGTGGCAGAGAGGACGCTTTGTGCGTTAAGGGAATGTGTGGAATAAGCAAATAAGAGAGGGGAGGGGTTGCAGAGATTAAATAGATCGATCGATCGATAGATAGATAGATAGATAGATAGATAGATAGATAGATAGATAGATAGATAGATAGATAGATAGATAGATAGATAGATAGTAGATAGATAGATAGATAGATAGATAGATAGATAGATAGTAGATAGATAGATAGATAGATAGATAGATAGATAGATAAATAGATAGATAGATAGATAGATAGATAGATAGATAGATAAATGGATAGATAGATAAATAGATAGATGGATTCGTTGTAAGTGGGCGAATAGAAACAATTTATGTATTCCGTTTTAAGTTAGTGACAAAATATGCCAATTGAAAGCACGCCGTGCAAGACTTATTAATATAGATGTCCCTTAAGAACATCAGATAAGAACCAAAATAGTGTACTGTCCAGCAGTTCACAACTAACTGGCCCCAAATCTTGGACCCGTATCGCTCTCAGCCTAAGGAAATTGCTTGGCTTGTTGGGCGATCGGGGAAGTAATTGCTTCTGTGGTCCCTATGGGCAGTGTGTGATAAGTTTCTCCTCTAAATCATCAGTATGTAGAAGTCGTAAAACGCAGCTCATAAAACGTCTGTGCTGATCAAAATGCTAAACATGATCCTACATCAACAAGTCGAGACAGCGACACAAACCAAAGAATCATAGCAAAAACAAAATGAGAGACTAAATATTATACTGTAGTACGAAGCTAGCTTTTCTTAAGTGTTACAAGTCTTGCGTTAACAGTTGGCTGTAGGTCAAGTAATTATATTCCAGTCAAGCCTACACCGTTAGAGCAAAACTGCACCATCATACAAAGGGCGGAGAGTACACTTTCATAGCTGTACTCGGACGAGTATGAATTTAAAAAAAAAGTAATAATAAAAGTGTAAATGCCTTTTCTTCGCTTCAGTTATTTTGTATACAATTACCGTTAGACTGAGTGCTTACCCTGTTTTATAATATATTTTTGGTAAGCGAACAAAATTTGGAGGTTCGGATAAACAAAGTATAATAATATCGGATTCTGAAAGTATGTTTGTTTTTATTTTTGTCAGACTGTCCGAGTATGGTATCCAGATTGGTTGACCAACCGGTTACACTTTCTGTGTCTTTAGATAAGTTACATTTTTTGTAACCTAGTTACAGACCATAACTCAAACAAAATGTGTGTTATTTAGAAATAGTTTTCCACAGATAGGACATTATCGCAATATCTTGCCTCTTTCATTCGGGAAAACCCCGTTGCGTGACACTTGCCTGACAGGCTTTGCTATTTCCCCACTTGCCCTCAAAGAAAAATCTGGAGATGTCATCAACGATTCATTTGAAGCCTCGTCTTGATTCGTGTTTCCCCCTCTCCTTTCCAGTGGTCACTTTTCTTTCATCCAATGTGCATTTCCGATGTTGCTGTTCTCTCTGTCCATGCATTTCAGGGTGACGATTTTTGTTCGCAGACAATGAGTTATTCTTCTTTGAAATTGTTAGATTTTGGCATAACAGCCCATCCCTGGCCTCACTCCATTTTTCAATGTTGACATCTAAACATAATTTGCCGCTGATGCCTTGTGTTTATTGTAATATCGAAAAAAAAGACCTTTAAAACCCATGTCCATTTTATTCTGTACTTTCTTCTTTGCTAATAGAGAAAATGAACGTTATTATAATTTAAAAAAAGAAGAAATTCGAAAAGCAAAAGCCTCATTTCGGGCTTAGAGGGAGACACCATACCAGACCAGTAGAAATACTGGGATAGTCGCTAAAATGTTCTTTCCACTCGGGAATCGAACTCTAAGTGTCTGACCGCTGCACCGTAGATGTGGTTCTTTACCTTCAGCGACTCGATTGATAAAAAGTACACGTCTAACATTTCCAAAGCAAAGGCTTCGTTCCCACGTTATGTCCAAAGGCTTCTGTAGTCTTAATGCAATGAACCGAACAAAGACCCGTTTAGGACATCCCAAGGATCGAACTGTTCTGCCGTCCCAACGTATAGGGACGTATTTCACAAAAAACTGCGAGATTTTTAAAAACTGCTTTGTAACTCTAGTGTTGCTAGTATTATTTTTGTGTCGCATACAGTACGAAGTATCTAGATCCGAAAAAAAACTTTTAAAGTGAGGGCCCCCTATCCCATTGTCGGAGGCAGGGAGGCGAATCTACGTTTCTGCACTATCGTGTTTAGAAACAGTCATAACTTAAGAAAGG